TTGGATTCCTAAAGCTTTTAGTCTGCTAACCCATCATCCAAGGGTAGTTTTCACAATAAGTAAAAATACTTTTTGGGACAGACACTATCATTTACAGTTTTTTTACTATGTTCAATCTGAATTTTCTTTAAAATAAATAATGTCTATATTGATTCTGACTTTTCTACATCCAACTCACAGGTTTATCATTACTTTGAGAAAAAAGATGATTAATGTTCCCCTTTAGAAGTGTAGATATGGTCATTTATTCTGGAAATATCATTTTCGAGCCTGAGACCTGAAAAACAGGGATATTCTTCTATATAAATACCTAACTCTCATCTAATGGCTACCTACTTGTAGAATAGGATTTCTCCAAATTCAGACTTTTCTCTTAAAATTCAGACTTTTCTCTTAAAATGATGACCGCTTGAATGTCTAATTTGTGTCTATCTGCCCATTCCTTAGACTGGAAACAGACCAGACACAGAGAACATTTCCCCCTCATATCTTAAATATTGTTTTCCTCCCGCAGGCGTCAGAGAGGGAGATCCAGTGGGTGATCCGAGGCTGTGTGTTGCTCACAGGATTGGTCGGCACGTCTCTCACCAGCGTCCAAAACAGCATCTCAATGATGTGGTTCCTAAGCACGATGATAACCTACATTGTTATCTTTCCTCAACTCGTCTGCGTTCTCTTCTTCGACGTCTCCAACGGTTATGGGGCAGTTTCTGGCACCCTGGTGGGATTGTTGTTAAGACTGTTGTGTGGAGAGCCATTAATAGGACTACCAACCGTCCTCCATTTGCCCGGATGCACCTTGGAAGACGGTGTTTATGTTCAACAATCCCCAGTGAACACCATCTCCATGTTAGCAGTCTTTGCTTCCAACCTGCTGTTCTCCAGCCTCTTCTCTCGGCTCATTCACAAAAAACTGCTTCCTGAGAAGTGGGATTCTTTGAGACTCTGCAAACAAAGACACAGCGATAAGGAGAACGAGGAAAAAATGGGAGACAGAATAGTCTCAGAGCCGATGATGAGCACAAAGCCTTAGCAAAGTAGCCTGCAGACAGGAAATTATATTATTGCCTTGTGTTACGATGTGAGGTGCAGGTGAAAAAAGGATACGTGGAGAGAGGGTTTTCTTTCAGAAATAAACAGGCGTTTTATTTTTTAGCCTTCCACATTATTTTACAGGTACACAAACGTCATGCCTGGTGCTGCGTTCACCAGCAAGGAACAAACAAAAATGCCACCCCTCCCCTCTCTTCCCAACCACTTTTGCGGTGCCCCCACAAATAGAATCAAATTCTGTGGGAAACACTGTCCTGTGTCTCTGGATTGTCTTCTATTGGTCTTAACACACTACAGTATGAGGATGGGGACCTCTAGGAATGACACCCCTCAACATCAAGCCCCCAGGAAGTGCTCCGGACTCTGAAGCAGTGTTAATTTTGGCAGCTGTTTTTGATTTAGTCTTAGTCTTTAGACGAAAATGGTTATTAGTTTTAGTCACTTTTTAGTCATTCCTATCCTTCATAGTTTTAGTCTACAATAGAGTCGACGAAAACTCAAAAGGTTTTAGTCAACTTTTAGTCGATGAAAAATTACATTTTAGTCAAAATGTTTTCTCTCTTTAAACAAATTCAGTTAGGCAAATAGAGGTAGGCCATCTGAAATTGGAATCAATGTGACAGTATCAAGTGTTGAAATTCGTAAAGCAACATTTGACTCTCTTAACACTTGTAATATCTAGGGATGGGTATCGTTAAGGTTTTCTACGGTACTACTAGTCTTATCGATACTGCTTATCGATCCGGTACTTTAACGTATTCTTGTATTTACTTTTTGTTATTTTTTAAAGGGAAAAACTAACAAATTGTTAACCGAATTAATTGCTTTATTTAAATGTGAAATAAATGAAATATATATAATTATTATGTTAAAATATTGTACTGTACTTGAGTACAATGTTGAGGTACTTGTACTTTACTGGAGTATTTAAATGTGTTGCTACTGTGTTTCTACTCCACAACATGTATTTAATACCTTTAGTTACTTTACAGATGTGGAAGCATGATGTGAAATCTAATCAAGTGTTAAATCAGACTTTAGTTCCACCTGGAGTAAATTCACAAGCTACCCTGCAGTATACAAAGTCATTCAAACTTGAAGGACTCCAGCATGTGTCCCACTCCGTTCTGAACGCTCCGTCCCCGGCAGATCTCTGTGTGCCGCTGCAGCGTGTCTGTTAGGCCCCGCCCCCCGCACACAGAGAGACACAGGGAGATCGCTCTTCTGGAGTGAAGAGAGCGGAAATAATGATATTGCAAGTTAGAAACGTAAGATGCATTTTGACAGACAAGACGGACAATTGTGTGAAAATACCCTGCATTTTGAATGTCCGTTAGTCCACCATTAACACCTTAGTCCCGTCTCGTCAACGAAAACTAAATATACATTTCGTCAAAGTTTTCGTTATCAAGAATCTATTTTTAGCTCGTCATCGTCTCGTCTTAGTCATGTAAAAAAGGTCGTTGGCGAAACATTTTCGTCATAGTTTTCGTTGACGAAATTAACACTGGTTCATATACTTATTTGATTATTAAAATGTAAACCGATCTTTTTCATATGGGTGTTTTAGAGTTGTAACTCCTAGATCAGGTCTTTCCGGGGGGGCATACCCCAAGACCCCCCTAGAGGATGTGACGTCCATCCCCCAATTCAAACCTGTTCATACAATAATGAATACATTTGAAGCCATTTTGACGTATATTACCTATGTCAATACGTTTCTGTTTTTGTAGTGTATTTGCCTTGTAGAGATTTTTCATTTATTCTTTACATACTGTATAAAATCTCGCCTAGGGCAGCAAATTGGCTAGAACCGGCCCTGGTACTAGGCCTCAAGAGCCTTTCTTGTGCTGACACAGAATTTTTTTTGGCGGGGTGCACTTCGCACACACTAAAAAATTCCACGCGCTCCGCGCTCACATTATGCTGGGCCCACTTGCCTTAGCACCGCTGCTATGACTCCATCCTAGGTGAAACACTGGTCTGAGGGAAGGCTGGGGCAGATGAAGCAGGGATGAGTAAGTAGACAATGTTTTTTTAGGAAAGGTATTTTGTTTAATAAAACAGTCATGTGCTAATTGAAGATGTCCAAACTTTTTTTATTTAAAGTGGTGAAGGAGCGAGTCCTAAAACCCTGAAATTAGTAAGCATTTGAGCACTTGTCTTGAAGTCAAAGGTTTTTGTGAGCCAAGGTGAAGAGATTTTCATGTTTCATTCCTCAACGTAAAATACGTCAGCAATGACCTCACTGGGGAAAGTCTGAAGCTGTGAATGTGTCAAAGGAGTGATGAAATGAGACTGCTAAACAACATCATGCCGAACAATAGCCAGCTTAAGTGTGACACCTGCAATGAGCAACCATACGACCGTGATGTAGTTTGTTTATAGCCTAGCGTTAGCTTTTTACATCTGGTTATTGCATTTGAGCTTCAACTATTATAAAAGTGGTGTTAATATGTGGAGATGAACCTGTGTCGTACTCAATCCCTTTGCTTTTTGTCGATGGAACCAGTGCGATGCAAACTTCCGCGTCGGTTAACAAAAAATGTAATCACTGCACCACTCTATTAATACACAGCTCAGTTGAAAGCTTGACTCTGATAGGTCAATCTTTAAATTCATCATTCTGCTCTTTTTTTTGATAGCATGCAGCTGCTAAGAACGCTCTTATCAGGGGACAATACACAGTAATATCGATCCGCAGAAAGAAGTCTGGTCAATTTAATCTCCGCAGAAGAAGACACACAGGAAGTAAACACTAATAGGAACCAGTATGGGCTCAGCCGTTTTTTTAAAGACTGGTTAATAGAACCTGTTGGGATTATTTTGGCTATAATAACTGGCTCACTGCATATTATCTCTTATACAGTCTATAAAGTGATTAATGAGTTAGGCGTAAAGGCGACGTACCGAGGGATTCCCAGAGTCACGTTCATCTCTCCTCTGCCGGCAAAGTGGAAGGTGTTGAGGGTCATCTGGGTGGAGGGCTCCCCTATAGACTGAGCTGCAAGCAGACCCACTGCTTCACCCGGGTCACACAGTGAGCGCTGCCACTTGTAGTGCAGCAGCTGACGGAGGCTGAACACAGAGTGAAAGAGAGGCATGAGGCTTCATTTACCTTACAAATAGACAAAACAGGTGAAAAAGGAAAGAAAGGGGAAAGCCCTTAAAAATAGACACTGTAAACAGAAGCTTCACAAACAATACCTTGACATTTTAAACGTCTTTGTAGTCACATCAAACAAAACAGGATCCTTTGCTTAGGACCAGAATGACACACTTCAAGAAAAATATTTAACATCCATCACCCTTGCATATTTGGCTCCTGATTAAAAAGGTAAGGATTTCTTGGTTTCATGAAGTTGTACTACAGTTTTGCCACATTTAAAACCCTCACATTCAGTACCTGTTTGTGTCGATGCTGTCCTGTTTCCGCCTTCCTTCGCTCTGCAGGTATTTCTCTGTGATGCTGTGGAAGTTTTCAGAGACCGATCCGAAGCAGACGTCGGGCCGTAACTGGCCCAGAGAGGGCTCGGGGCAGCGGGAGGACTTCCTGCTGTACTTGGATCTGCTGGAATCATCCAGAGCCTGCCACTGCTGTATGAGCTGCGCAGTGGGGAGCGGAGAGGAACAGTTTGGTTGGACAAGGTTACCATGATGCATCCATTGTGTACTGAGCAATGGTGCAAAGTAATGTAGATTTATTCAACTACTGTACTTAAGTGCAATTTTGAGGTACTTGTACTTTATCTGAGTATTTCCATTTGTTGCTACTTTTAACTTCTACCCCACTACAATTCAGAGGTAAATTGTGTACTTTTACTCCGCTACATGTATTTAACACCTTTAGTTACAGATTTTGATTAATGATGTGAAGTATAATCAAGTGTTAAATCAGACTTTAGTTCCACCTGGAGTAAATCCACAAGCTACCCTGCAGTATACAAAGTCATTCAAAGTAGCTGCACCTTTACCAGCTTTGAGAACACTTTAATGATCAATCATTATAAAACACATCATATATATTATTGTGAAATGGACCAATCTGCATAATGATTAGTTTTACTTTTGGTACTTTACCTATATTTTGATGCTAATACTTTTCTACTTTTATTTGAGTAACATTTTTGAATTTAATTTTAATTGACTTTTACTTGTAACAGAGTATTCCTACACTCTGGCACTTCTACTAGTATTTAAAACAAGAGTACTTGTTCCACCTCTGGTACTGAGGCTGTGGGGAATGTAGTAACTACATTTCTAAGAAGCCGCCAGATAAGCATTTTGGCTCCTACATGAACAGAGTGAAGCACTAGAACTGGCACATCTTTTGTGTAATTTAGCACCTGTAGTATAGAAGCCTTTCGACCGCAGACATCTGGTTCTCCTCCTTGTTCTGTCTGCTCCAGATGGGCCAACTTCTTTTGAGAATACAGCAGGAACGCTCCTGCCACACATTCAAACACAGATACACAAATATAACATGACAGCAGTGATGGACAGAAACTAAGTACGGTACATTATTGTACTTAAGTACACTTTTGAGGTCAATAAGTACTTAAGTACAGTACTTGAGGAGGCTTCTCATGCTACTTCAACTTCACTACTATTTAAAGGGGAATATGTTGTTTTTACTCCACTATATTCAGTTGATAACTTCACAGATTCAGATAAACAAAACACAATGTGATCACAATGAATTTACCATGTATTTCTTTGGTTATAAATAAATTGAATCGTAGTATTGAAACATTACTAAAGTAAAAGAAACAAGTACTGCGTCCACCTCTGAAAAAAGCATTATCAATATATAGTTTATACAATAACTGTATATGAGAAAGCATCAATAACTATAATCCGATGATAAAACATGCTACTATTTTTGGTATTTTGATTTGATGCCAATACTGCTGTACTAGAATTAAGTAAAGCTTTGAAAGCAGGATGTTAAGTTAAAGGTCCCATGTCATGGCTATTTCCACTGATCATAATTCCATTGTTGAGGTCTACCAGAATAGATTTATATTGTGCAATTTTCCAAAATCACTTTGGTTTCTCATACAGCATCTCTGTAAACTACGTGTATTCACTGAATTTCACTCTCTGCCTTTAACGGCTCGTTGTAGCTCCAATAGCTCCAGCCCCCACCCTCCCTCGTGACGTTGTGAATCGCGCTGAGCTCCGTGGAGGTGTGGTTTCCTTTTTAGTCATACACAGCGAAACACAGCCAAACTCACCCTGAGCACACACAAAGTCACCTGAGACTGCCAAGGCA